TTATTCGAAATTTAACTATGATACCGACTTCTGCATACTAATTAAAAATATATATTCCACGGTCCCTAATGTTCGCCCGTGAGCATTTCTGATGATATACTATTATAATTACGTAATGCCATTAAAATATTCAACGAGCATTACGTTATCAGTAAAAATTTTATCAGAAATATTACGGAAATAGGAACCGTGAAATATATATTCCACTGTATGCAATGAGTATCATGTATTACCACGGCTTCATCCATGATATTAATAAGCAGCCCGCGGAATATCTAGTACAAGTGAAATGATATAATTTAAAAAGGAAACTTAGAATTAAAATTTAGGGGTAAATTGAAGCTGTTGTGCGAATAGGAATAAATTTCATGCCTAATTGGTGCCGTAAGGTAGTTTAAACATATGATTTTTTTTTGTATGATAAGCGCAATTACATTTCCGACACATTAATTTTCTTTTTTTGGTTTGTATCACTCCACACGTAACAAGCACTTTAATGTAAAACGCCTAGAATGCATATCATTCGGAAAAATATTTAAAAAAGGAAAGTATGAAAGAACAAGATATGCGTCTCGAATATTCGATTAAGAATTAGATAAAATAAATTAGTATTTCTTATAGCATATGGTTACATTTATAATATTCAACAAATCAAAAAATTTTCCAATTATCCGATATTAATAAAAAGTATAAAAAAAACACCCTCCTCAGCTACCTACCCTTATTTACGATCTCTTAAAATCGTAAGAATTCTTTTATGTTTTTGTCTTACTAATATTTTTCAGAATGTTTTAACATAGCGAAATATATCTCCGCAAATATTCCAGAGTGTATATACTAAATATTATTTTGTGTAATTTTGGATAAATAAGTTGAATATACATTATTTTCATAATTGTCTAAATACTGTATTTATAATATTTATATCGCCCAAAATGACCCGAAATTCATCTTCCAACTATTCTAAAAAGAATCCAAACGATGAGCAACCTATACCCAGGAATAATAATAGAACTAAAAATACTTCGTCTTGCAATTATTGTAGACTAAACAAAGTTAAATGCGATTATTTAAGTAATGGTCGATGCAGGCGATGTATTAATCATAATCGCAAATGTGAATCTGATCCTCAGAAAAAGAGGGGCCCCAAAAATAAAAAACCACCTGGATCAAGTATACAATCTAGAGAAAAAAATTTACAAAATCTGGGTGATGCATTTTTGCGATCTATAAACGGGAGTGGTCAAGATTTAGATGTCTTAATTCTAGAAACTCGGTCAAACTGGAATATGAATCCTGTAACAACAAATAATGGAGGAATTCTTTCTATGGAAAGTTCTACTGAAAACTTTCAAATGAACAATGAACAAAATATAAATTTTGCTGAAAACACTCCGACGTTACCAAATTCAATACAAGAAAGTTTGCAAAATATAACTTTGAATGAGAATTCTTCAATATTTGATAATAATGAATCAATGCTATCTCCAGAAATAAATAATGAGCAAATGTTAACTTGGTCACCTAGGACACCTTCACCGTTACCAAATTCAACACAAGAAAGTTGGCAAAATAGAACGTTGGACGAAAATTCTTCAATAATTAATAATAATGAATCAATGCTATCTCCAGCAATAAATAATGATCAAATATTAACTTGGTCACCTAGGACTCCTTCACCAACTCGAGACAATCAACAGATAAACAATGAACTTGTAGTTGACTGGCTTGGGAACGTTTCTAATACAAATGCTTTAAGCTCTTCAAGCATAAGTTACATGTATCCAGGAAACCAACAACAAAATTTGCCCGTTTTGCAATTTCCAGAAATAACTCCACAGAATTTCGCAGATTTAAGAACAGTATCTCCCATGGAAATTATTGGATTGAATAGCGAAGTCGATTTTTCCCAAAGTTTTTGTAGTACACCAAATAATACATTTAATCAATCACCTGTTTTAACTGGGGATCTTCGACTCATGTCAATGCCAATGTTGGGAGATTTGTCACCACTTATACCTCAAGATCCTCAAGAAATGTCAGTGTCATTATTTGGTGATGCATCACCCCTAATAACTGCAAGTCTTCAACCTATGTCAGGTGGTGCGTCACCCCTAATAACTGCAAGACTTCAACCTATGTCAGGTGATGCATCACCCCTTATAACTGCAAGTCATCAACCTATGTCATGTGATGCATCGCCTCTTATCGGTTTAATTCAAGCCACGGTAATTCCATCGCTTGAAGTATCACCCCTTATCAATTTTTCAACTGATCCTCAAGCCACGTCAATGCCACAGCTTGATTTGGGATTGTCATTTCTCGATCTGAATGATGAAACATCTATAAATTTCACCACGAATTCCCAACCCGATCAACATCTATTATCAGTTCCACCAAGAAACAGATTCCATTAGGCCACGCAAAGTTGATTTTTCGTTTTGCATTACATGGATTTCAAAATTAGGAACGGACGGACGGATTTTTTTTTTTTTTTTGTATTTTTTTTTTAATTCAATTTACTGCAAATAGAATAATGATCACATTTAAGGTCATATTTTGCAAACAAGGAATCAAA